TCTGAGCAAAGTGCAGCTGATAGTTCCACGCGTGCTGTTGTTTTCCGGGTGTCAATTCTGCTGCTATTGGGGCAGTGGGGCTTTGCGGCCCTCTGCTGAGTGGAGGCCGGTGGAGGAGAGTTTATGCTTCTACTGATAGCACCTCCGTCTCTCCACGTGTCCTGAGAACTAAATAAAGTCTTAGGAGGGCACGTATTTTGTTGTATTTTCCGCTACTTTTTTTTTCTTTACGCATATTTTTTTTTTTTTTGGACCCAAAAACTGCGCTCTTTCATCGGCGCCAGCACAGAGGGGTCTTCTTTTTTTTTGTTCCTCCCTTTTTGTTTATTATATTGTTCGCTTCTATCAATGACGGGATACCAGTCACCGATTTGCTTTTTAGTGTTTCGGTTCAGTGTTTTGTTGGTTTACTGCTTTACGGATGTTTTTTTTTGTTGATTTGCCGGTTGTTGTTTTGTCGGTTTGTTCTTGGCGACGGCGTTGAGCCTGCGTGTTTGCCCGGCGGCGGGAGATGCTTCACTGCGCCTCCGCACTGCTGTCGTCGCAGGAGGGAGCGGGGCTCTCTCTTTCCTTCACGTCTTGGTTTTTGGCGTGGGTAGACGTGTGCCACGGTGCCGGATGACGCGCAGGCCATCGAATTCGTTCGAATATACACGAATAAAAACAACTAACCGCTTACGTTGGGTGTCTGCGGACATTCTTGGCATTGTGTGTCCGCCGATAAGAAAAGGAAAGACGCAAGCAAGGAATGGAAGCCACAGCAGCACACTGCGGGGGTCCCTGTGACGTTAAGCGACGTCTGGAGGCCGGGGGCTTTCGGTGGTTGAGACGAATATGTTGTATATATATATATAGACGTCCAAAATGTGAGTGGAACTGTGAGGATCGCACGGGGGCCTTCCACGACATTTTTTTTTCTGTGAAAACGTCTTAAGGAGTAGAGTGATTTTTGTTGCTGGTAAAGCTTTTTTCTTGTGTGCGACCACTGCGTGGGCTGCGGTGCCATTTTGAGTTTTAGTCATCTAGTTTTCCCATCTTTGCGTCTTGCATCTCTTCTGTGTATGTATGTGCGTCCTCACACGCTTTACTCTTCTTCTTTTTTGAAAAGTTTTGTATCTGCAGGCACACACACACACACACGATTTATATATATTGCAGTTGCACGTGGAGGATGTTTTTGTAGTTGGTGCCGGCAGTGACACATGCGAGTGCTGCTGCCTCCTTCCGTGGAGATGAAGGGAAGAGAGAGACTAAGGGGGAGGCGTTGCGCTGTGGGTCATTCTTCCTTTTCTTGCGGATGCAGGGCGCTGCGTGGTGGCATCGTCAACTGGAACGGTGTGGAATGGCGGTGCGGTGTGGGCGTCGTGCCATGTGATGGTTGCAGGTTCAGTTCCCGTGTGTGCGCGTGTGTGATCGGAGGAGTGGGTGTGGGTTGCTGCTCTGCTCCGTCGTGGGTGGATGCTGGCGCGGTGTGACTCTGTTGTGTGGAGGGTCAGGTTCTCTTCGTTTGTGGGGTGACGGCGCTGCGATGGTGTTTGTGTGCTGTTTGTTCTGCTGTGTACGGCGCGCTCCATCGTGTTGGTGGGGTGAATGGGGGCGTCGCGCGGTCTCCACACAAGTGGCAGATTTATTATTATTTTTTGTTCAGCTTGTTTTGTTTGATTTCTTCTATTTTGCTAAGAAGGTGGCTGGGGGTTGCGGAGGAGCCAGGCTCCCTGTTTGTGGGAGATGCCATGGGCGGCAATGTCTTTGACTCCTCCTTCCTCCTTCCTCCCTTCTCCTTCTCTTCTTTACTTGCTTCTTTGTGGGCAGGCGTTGACGTGTGACTGGCAAAACACGGCGCGCCCCATGGAATGGCTGCAAAAAGTAAACGGCTGCGACTTACATGTGGTGCTTGCGGGGGCGTATGCGGAGCCGATGCCGCAGTTCCCCGTCGTTGCTGTTGTTCTTTGCTGCTGCTGGCGGTAGTCGCTGTGCTCTCGGCCCTTCGCCCTCTTTCTCTGCCTGTGTCTTGCTGTGTGTGCGGGCGGTGCTCATCGTTGTATCGATCTTTTTTCCCCTTTTTTGTTTCTTCTTTACTTCTTTTCAATACATACACGCGGGAGGAAAGAGACCAAACACTACGTGCTGCTGTGCACATTGAAACGCTCTGCAGTCACCACCAGCAACACACACACACACACACACACACACACAATCGTCGCGGCCTGAAAGCATTCCCTACAAGGAGTGAAGGGAGACAGTGAGTGAGTGAGTGAGCGGCGACACATGCCCAAGATGTCCTGGCACATGTTTTTGTATTCGGTGCTGCTCCTTCTCTGCGTGCTGTTGGTGTGCTGCGGCGGTACGGCTGTGCACGCCGAGGAGGGAAATACGCCAAAGGAAGCGCAAACACCAGAGGTTGTTGATCTTTTTGTGCCGAGTCAAACGATTGTGGAAACACAAGGCCAAATTGAATTGAGGGATTCTTTTGTCTACCCCTCCCTCGCCAGTGCTGGTGGAGTTTTGGTTGCGCTTGCCAAGACCCAGGCCAGAGCTCCATACGCTTATGATGGACGTACTTCGATGATTTTTGCTGATGTTGTGGCGGGGTACATTGACTCTGCGAAGAACTGGTCGTCTTTTGTGGCAGAGGCCAATGCAAACGAATGGTGGGCGCACAGCATCTTTAACACGACCATGCGCCGGGAGTATATGTCCCGTGTGATATACGAGGTCCGACCCACAACAG